ATGCAAAGATATATAATACTCACAAAATTCTCCCTGGAACAAAAGCACGAATATACAAAACCGAATCCAATTTCCTCTCTTTCCACCAACGTTTCTCGTAACTTCTGTTTTATTGCGCGTCGTAATATCTTACACTGAGAATCGTTTGAGAATATTTATAAATCCTGACTCCTGAACGCTCTTCGTAGGTTTACAACCTAATTAGCATATTACACGCCGTCCAAGTGTGAATTTGTCTGTCAGTTTTATTAATGCTCCAGCATGGCCGACTCCGAGTGAACTAAGATTCTGAGCGAATTACTCAACACCTCGTATTTCAATGAAAATTGAGACTAATTTTTGGCACAAGAACTTCCTGAATTTTGAGAGAGATTTAGTATCAAGCTTACATACCTGTGGGCAATAATTAGCCTTTGATAACTGTCATTATGCCTAGAAAAACAGGAACCGCCATAGTAATAGGCATAGCCCAAAAAACGACTACCACATGCTAAGATTGGCTATAATTTTTGCCCCAACTGGCCCAAAACTGTACTGAGATTTCATGTGTAAAGTTCTGTATTCGTATGGTGTCCCACAGACATTAGAGTGTTTGATCGAATGTTATGCTGAACTTAATTAATAGTTAAGGCGTTTAAGCCAGAGCAAAGAACATGTAATTTCCTATTACAATCAGAATTTGAAATGCGGTATATAACTACAGGGTGTATCAAAAAAAGCGCAATCCTCGACTGAAATGTAAATTGCTAAACAAATAATAGACGAAAACGTTAAAGTTTACATTCATTTTAAAGCGTAGCCATTCAGCTTTCTAACAGTGGGTTGTTTCTTAAATTTGACTCATTGGTTCGCGGCTAATAATACTTTACGTTATTGCGATTGGAGATTAAAAAATTGAGATGGAATAACAAATCGTTCTCATGAAAATAACTGATTTTTTCATTAAAACAAAAAAATGTTGCATTTTATTAAATGGATTGTAACAATAAGTATAATTACGGCTTTTCTTCCACTATTTTAACTCAGTTTGAAACTTCAAATGCGATATAATTTTGGCTTGGACCATCTAAGCTGACTGACATCAACTTGCTATAATTTCTGTTTACATTACATCGCAATTCGATGACACTCTGGCTCAGACACCAGAATGTTTTGACGATTTTTAGCATTCGTTTAGGATTTTCAAACAACCTGGTCTCTTTTAAAATACTTTTAATTTGTTCTTACGTGGTTTTCCAGATGTAGTGACGACAACATTAAAGTTTAAAGAAGAAAATTCTAACATTTAAACCGACTAAACAATAACATAGTAAACTTGCATAATTAAACAGCAACTAAAAATGATAGGTTTTACTAAATCTTTTCCTGTGCATTATTACTAGCATTGGAGACAAGGATAATAGTTTGTTTGAAAGAGAAAAGAACAGGCTTTGAAGTAAGCCTAAAAGCGTTTAACTAGAAATAGTATTTCGAAAGTTATTAAGCACAAAAGATGAATTGCGTTTATTTTGATACACCCTGTATACATCAGGAAATTATGCAAATATTTTCAAGATAAAACATCGACATTTGGGACGGGAAGTATAACGTGAGACTTAGTCACGGAAAAAGGGCCCTTCATTCCAAATGAATGTCGAAGTGCGGAATTTAATGTTTAATTTAATCTTAGTATAACCAGTTCTCTAGGAAAAACAGTTTAGAACTGACAGAGCTATCCAGTAGAAATAACGTCAGTTCAGTTTAGGTTTCCTCCAGCTCATATATATATGTAACAAAATCTAGTAGTATGCCCATGAGTAATGGTATATATACAATCGAGGGTGCTCATCAGCTTACTGGATTTTGGAACATATAATTAAATGTCATGAGCGCGCTCATATTTGCCAATATCCAATAATATCCTGCTGGATTTTGGTGTGTATATGAGGTTGTTTATGAGCATTCTGGATTTTGGTACATTTATAAGCGTGCTTATGAGAATACCTTATTTTGGTATCTCATGAGCACGCTCAAAAATGTACCAAAATCCAGTAATATCTTCATGAGCATTCTCATGAGGATGTAAGATTTTGGTACATATATGAAGGTGCTCATGAGCATACTGGAATCTGGTACATTTATAAGCGTGCTTATGAGAATACCTTATTTTGGTGTCTCATAAGCACGCTCATATATGTACCAAAATCCAGTAATATCTTTATGAGCATTCTCATGAGGATATTGATTGTTGGATTGGTGACTTTGATGATAGTTAGTTAGATAGTACTAGTGATTTTATAATTGCGTTCATGCAAGGGTCGCAGTCAATTTGTTCAAACATGGCATGGAATAAGATCGACACATATTCAAATACCATAATCATCATTATTTATACACTGCAGTGATCTGTACTATTTAATTTCCGAGGACATGGGCGAAAGTTTGTCTTCAGTTGACACAGCATGTAGCCGAGTTAGAGATTGCATATTTAATGTAATTATAATACAGCTGCAACTTGATAGTTTTTGATGACGTGCCGTTAGAGAAATTAAGGAAAAGGAGCATTATTTTTGCCTGGAGCTGTGAAGAGAAACTGAAAAGAGAAACAGCTCTTTCATTTCTAAATTGTTCTCCTTTGAAGTCCGGTATTTTTTGTTAGAGTCATCTGTTAGTGATCCAGTGTTGCTACAGGAGGAAACCTAAACTATATAACTTTATTTATACTGGATAGCTCTATCAGTTCTAAACTGTTCTTCCTAGAGGTCCAGTACTTGAAGGTTCATCTCTTATTGATCCAGTGTTACTACAGAAGGAAAGTTTAGGAAACCTAAACTAAACAAACTTTATTTATGTTAGGGATGGTCTGGTAAGGCTCCATCCTTTATATTGTCAAATCTTCGTAGTCAAGTTGATTCAAGTAATCCTATGGTTTTGTAGTATTCAGGTACAATGATTAAGTATAGATCAATGGTTTTGAAGCAGTTTATACAGTTATGATTGCAAAAACCTGACGTTGCACATTATCAGAAAACTCTTTGTGTTTTTAATCCTGAAAGATATTTCTGCCAAACACAAACATATGCATTACACGTTGTATTATTCAGTAAGATAAGGAAAGTTATTATTTAATTTCAGAGATCACCTGAATCATCAAATGTTTCATCAGTCAATCTCAGTCCATATACATTGACTTAAACCTGCTTATATATGCAAATCAGATCCATCCTGTTTTGTATCTGTCAGTGACTTAGTATAATTAAAACCACCACCAGGCGGTCTATACTACTATAGCTTTAAAAAAATATATCGGGGGAGTATTGTGACGCGATAGTTGATCTATATTATTCATTTTAAGCCGATGTCCAAATTATTAATTAGTTTGTCGTACTTTTCGAATTATTCATTCATTTTATAGTTTTCATTATTCCTTATTGCTTTCCACCCCAAGGCATAGAACTGCGTTATATTCCCTATAATTCTGGATTTTCGGCAAACCGACGAATATTCGTTATCTCGCCAGATCACGTTTGACTTTATTCCAAACTTTCATCCAACGTCGTTTGACAATGTTGAATAAACATATTATATACAGTTAATTCAAAAAAAGTTGTCCTTCAAAAGTCTCAAACCCTAAACATTAAGGCAAGCGCGCAGAGTATGATTGGTATTGCCTTTTTAGTGAACCAAAAGCCCTACATCGAAAGTGTTCCTTATATATGCCCTCGAAACATGAGGACATAGTCCAAACTGCGCGTTTGGAGTTGAAATGCGCGGTGTATTGTTAATTAAGCACAAATTATGATTTAAATATATATATACATGTCTTTCAAAGAACAGACCCGCTTTTGGCGCCGTTTAAATTACAAAAATACAAAAATAGTCCTTATATGAGTGCGCTTTATTTATCTTGCTCTTGCGCTATATAAAATGTAATCAAATTTAAATGTCAGGCAATTACGAATGTTGAATTTTTAAAGTCTCAACTATGTACATGCGTGTTATTGTTTATTATATATAGTAGAGAGTGAGATATCGTGAAAAATACACAGTGAGATATTTTCCATGATCTTCACTGGTGAAGATATCGATCACGTGACTTTTTCTAATTTGCTTTTGAGCGTGAAATTTCACAATTTCTTGCTTGGGACTATATAATAGACAGAACATTACACGGTGGCTTGAATTAGATATGACTTTTATCTTCTCGTGTTAAAAACAATATTTTACTCACTCGCTGCGCGCGCTCATTCGTAAAATATTGTGTGCACCACTCGAAGATAAAAGTCATATCTTCGCGCCGCCGTGTATAATATCCTCTATTTATGCGCTTGCCGAAATTTATGCCGTAATTTGCGGGACGTTTAGTGGAAACTATATACGCACCGCACTCAATTGGCGTTTGTTTAGTCTATAGTTAGAGTATACATGTAGACTACCCTTCATTAAAACGCGCTGTATAATTAGAACTGAAAAGAGCAGTTTCCTTTAACTGAATCATTTTAAAAATTCTAATTAGACAAAACGCACCTGCGCTTTCCAGTTTCAAAACTGCAAACAAAATCTAATATTTATTTTCTGCGCTGTATCAAGTCACAGTCAAGTCACAGTCGAGTCAACAAAACTCATTTTTAATTTTCACAATTCGAAATTGCTGTTTACATTTTAAGTTTTGTTCCAATCGTAGAAAAACACTGAATTTCTTTTTATTGTCGGAACTGTTCCGTATTTTCGCAAATTGATTATTATTGTAAACTATTTAATGACGTTTGAAGGTTTAATTTTAATATTAAAACAGTTTTTAGTTATCTGTATATTGCATAGGAAGTCTATCTCGGTCGCGATCTCTTTTATTGTTTTAACAGTTGTTCGAACGACATGAGAGCATTTCTGCATTTAAATTAAATGGTTTATCGAAAACTAAAATTTCTGGCCGGGGCTTCGTGCTGGCTTTTTAATGACCCGTTGAAAGATTAAATGGATTGTGATCGAAGAATTTGTTATATATCAGTTGAATGCTTGCTGCCGTTAGATTCAGCGCACGGACCCGCAAACTTTGAAAAGAACGAGATCAAATTTAATTGATGAATTGTGGATAGTTTTTGCTGGCATATAACGTTTTGTAGGAAATTGGAAGATGCAATTGGACTCATTGGACGAGGCTTGATTAAATTGGTCACGCGTGCATGTAAGCTGATGGATCGCAAACCGCAAAGAGAATTGAATTTTTAAAGGAGAATTTTCACTTTGTGGGGACAACGTTGTATTCGTAATTTAAAGTCAAGGATACCAAAAAACGTCTACGAACGTTTTTGATTGAGAATTGTTAAAATAATTAGATCATTGTTGAATTTGAGAAACGAGTCTTCGAAAAATTTGCTTTGGGAATCAAATATCGATTTGCAACAGTCTTGAGTAAACAATCCCGTGAGTGATGAAAGAGTGCCTTTAAAGACTTTAAAACTATCGTTTTTGCCTAAAAGGTTTAAAATCTAACAAATCTGTTTTCAACCGAATCGCAAGAAAGACCAATCTGTTCTTGGGTTTTTGAAAATTTGAAATTAAAGTAGTCAAAGTTAGTTTAAATAACTGTGATTGAGCTGACTAATTTTAAACGACGATTCTCATTCCAAAATATTTGTTTTGCAAATCCCAAGAAAAACAAAGTCACGAATAGTTGAAGCTTACATTCATTTTAATTTTAAAACGGGCAAAAATATTTGAGCATCGTAACTATTTTTGAAAAGTTGATTGTTGTCCTTTTACGGATATTAGTATACAAAACAGTGTAAACGAACGAAAATTTAATATACCTTTGAACAAAATATACCTTCGGCGAACGAATAACAATTAGAACGACGAATGTTGGAGAAACAGTTCTAATTTGTAAATGTTATTCTAAAGAACGAAATATACCTTCGAACGAATATAATTAGAACGACAAATATTAGAGAAACGGTTCTAACTTGTAAATTGTATTCTAAAGAACAAAATATACTTTCGAACGAATGACAATTAGAACGACGAATGTTGGAGAAACGGTTCTAATTTGCCAATTTTATTCTAAAGAACGAAATATACCTTCGAACGAATAACAATTAGAACGACGAATGTCAGAGAAACGGTTCTAATTTGCCAATTTTATCCTAAAGAACGAAATATACCTTCGAACGAATAACAATTAGAACGACGAATGTTGGAGAAACGGTTCTAATTTGTAAATTTTATTCTAAAGAACGAAATATACCTTCGAACGAAAATCAATTAGAACAACGAATATTAGAGGAACGGTTCTAATTTGTAAATTTTATTCTGACGAACAAAGTATAACTTCGAACGAAAGAAAAAGAAGCCATGTTGAAAATTCGTTGGATTTTCGCTATATTCTTCTTCACGACTACGCTTCGAACGCGGTTTTACGTCAACTGTAGAGCCGGCAAAATAACTTTGGGTATTTTATTGCCTTTTGAAACGGCTGGTGATTTCTTATCGGATAATCGGCAATGGACAAAGCGTTATGCAGGAATGATACCATACGCTATAAATACCATAAATAACGACCCCAATCTGCTACCAAATCACACTCTTAGTTTCGTATGGAAAGATACGGAATGCAGGACAGATAAAGCTTTGAGAGGGATGGCTCAACAATGGTCGGAAAATGTTGATGCTTTTATAGGATTGGGTTGTTTTTGTGAAGAATCTGTACGGCTTGCCAGCGCCTTGAGATTGCCTGTTGTATCAAATGTAAGTTGCATATACAAGAGCCTTGGTATAGGGCACAAATTCATTTATTCTCGATAGCTCTAACAGTTCCACTGTGGGCACGTGCCCCCCCCCCCAACTTTTCAAAAGTGCCTTTTTCCGGGAGCAAAGTGCCCTTTACCTTCGTGAAAAATGTTGTTTAGATTGCATTTTTTGCCCAATGACTTTTGATTTATGATTGGATTTGTTTTTGTATTTTGGTATTTCCTGAAAAATTCTGTTATTTTCGGGTAAAATTTTGATATGTCCGGGAAAAATTTGTGATTTTCGGGCAAAAATATGATATCTCCGGAAAACTCTTTAGTACGCCCGGAAAATTTTTGTTATTCTCTGGAAAAAAATGTGATACTGATGTCCAGAAAAATTTTTGGTATGTCCGGAAAGAGATACAGTTTAGAGATACAGTTTACTAGCAAACTCATATTGGATCAGTGTAGCTCAGTGTTGCTACCTAAATTGAACTGACTTTATTTATAGAGAACTGTTCTTCCTAAAGGTCCAGTAAGGGTCATCTTCTGTTGCTCCAATTTTGCTATAGGAGGAAGCTGACCAAAGTATCCGAAGAAAACTGTGTTTGATACAAACTCAACTTTGTAATTGCGCAGGGTACGAGATTCACGAGTCGAACTGGAAATGGCAAGAAATTATAGTCTGACAATCGCAACCGCTATGTCACCAAGATCTATTAGAAATGGTAAAAAGTAATGGAATATAATATTTTCTTTCTTTTCCCAGCTATGTACTTCCGCCGAAGTTTCAAACAAGTCTGTGTACCAGACCTTCGCCCGGACAAAGCTCGACCCAGGCAACATGGCGCAGGAAGTTCTGGGGATTTTCAAACATTTCAAGTGGAAAAGAATAGCCATAATGTGGGAAAATATCCCCGTGTGGACGAAAAGGAAAGATACCCTTATGGAAACATTAAAAAAGAACAATATCAGCGTTTCCAGTACACGGCCACTCATCAGTATTAAGAAATACACGCCGAAAATTCATAAGGAAGTGTTCAGAAATGAACTGGGAGTTCTCAAAGGAAAAGCTAGAAGTTAGTGTTTCCTTTATGCTTTGTGGGTATTTCAAGGGTTTTACATAAATTTCAGAAAAATGTAATGTATCTTTATAGTAAAAAAATTCATCTTGATCAATTTTTTCACTGTCAGAGTTTCCAGATAGTGTCATTAGGTGAATTTTAGGTTCAAAAAGCAAAGGAAAACTAATTTGCAATTCACCTAATGACATCATATATGGTAACTTTGACAGTGAAAAAGTTGATCAAGATGGGATTTTTCCAACAACTCTTGTTCTCGTTTGACCTGGGCATGAGAGTTGAGAAAACTCTCATGCAAACTCTCTTTTCTCAACTCTCATGCAATTCTTGTTCTCGTTTGACCTGGGCATGAAAGTTGGGAAAACTCTCATGCAAACTCTCACTTCTCAACTCTCATGCAACTCTTGTTCTCGTTTGACCTGGGATGTGAGAACTCTCATGCAAACTCTCGCTTCTCAACTCTCATCAACTCTCATGCAACTTTTGTTCTCGTTTGACCGGGGTTTTAGAGATTTATACAAAAATACACACAAAACGTTTATTCATTCTTTTATTATCTAGTTTTAATATTTATGATGGACCACGAGCTTGCACGAGAGGCGATGTTCCTCGCAGACGACCTTGGAATGAACCACGGAAATTTCGTCTTCATTCTCTTCAGATTTGACATCGAGCAGATACTTTTATCCCTACAATTTCCTATTTTGAGCCCATTTGTTGGCCGTTTTAGCGAAACTAGAGTATTGACCGAGGGAGCAAGTAAATCGTTTCAGAATGCCTTGACAATATCGTTGGTTATCAATAAGGATAATCTGATATCAGATCCTAACGTTTTGAAAGTCGTTTCAAATTTGACACAGTCACCACCGTTCAACAGGAGTAAAGCCGATAGCACGTATCATAAGGTAAGAAAAAGACGCTCGGGAAAGCGGGGGAGGGGGGGAGGAGGAGAAGGGAGGTAGGGAAATAGGAGAATGGCGAAAAGGGAGAGTATACTGAACTAAATGTTAAACTAGTCAGATAGCTCTATAATTAGTTCGATCGAGCCACTCTGGGTTTTGGTGAGACCAGTGGCACAAAGTGATTAATAGCACAAAGTGAAAATAGGAAAACTCGACCATTCATTTCTGTTTCATTATTTTTAGCTTTTCTACCCCGAAGACGCTGGGTATCTTTATGATGCCATTTATCAATACGCCGTCGCTATCAATAAAACTTTATCTCATAATGGAGACATCAGAAATGGCACGCAAGTGATACAGAATTTGATCGGAACAGAATACAAGAGTGCGTGATAGGAATTACTAAAGAACCATTATACCATCATACAAACATAGCTGGGTGGTTAACATCATCACCACCATCATCATCATCACCAACACATCATCATAATCACCAGTACCATCACATCATCATCACCATTACTGTCATTACATCATCACCATCATCACCATCACCACAATCACCATCATCATCATCACCACAATCACCATCATCACCATCATCATCACCATCATCATCACCATCATCATCACCATCATCATCACCATCATCATCATCATCACCATCATCATCATCACCATCATCACCATTATCATCACCATCATCATTATCATCACCATCATCATCAACACCACCATTATCATCATCACCATCATCATCACCATAATCATCATCATCATCATCATCATCATCATCATCATCATCATCATCATCATCATCATCACCATCACCATCACCATCACCATCACCATCATCATCATCATCACCATCATCATCATCATCATCATCATCATCATCATCATCATCATCACCATCATCATCATCACCATTATCATCACCATTATCATCACCATCATCATCAGTCATCACCATCATCATCAACACCACCATTATCATCATCATCATCACCATCATCATAAATTCATAACTATTTCTACTGTAGTCATCATTACCGTTCTCCACACTAAAAATCCCCAGAAATATCACTGACCATCTATTTTCAGGTTCCTTGGGTGGTCCGGCATTTTTCGATGACAACGCAGACGCATTTATTGGCGAATATATACTGTACGACTTTCGTGGTAATAATACAAGTACGTATACCGATAAAGCTATACAGTATAAATATAATTAATTTAGTTAAACTGTACCACATATATTTCTTAGTGGTTTCTCAGTCATATATGCCTACATTGTCTATTCCCTTCGCAGAGCCCAGCTATCATAAAGTTGGTACATTCAACGTGAAAAGAGTTCTAAATATCACCGATGAAATTCTTTGGGTGAAAGGAATTCCCAGTGATTCTCCAGAATGCGGTTTTGAAAATGACCTTTGTGCAGAGGGCTCGAGTAAGTCTTCGAAATGATTCTAATCCTACGTGAATTAAGAGTCTGCGTTTTGAATCAACTTTTTACTTTGTTTTAGAAAACTATACGTTCCTTATTCTTGGTGTTGTCATGGGGATCTTGGTCATTGCTGTAATTGCCTTGGTCGTCTCTTTATACAGGTAAGCTGGAAATAGAATTTGGTCATTTCAGACTAAACTAACTTTATTTATATTGGATAACTTTATCAGTTCTAAACTGCTCTTCTTAGAGGTCCAGTAAAGATCATCTCTTATTTATCCAGTGTTACTACGGGAAGAAACCTAAACTAAACTAACTTTATTTATACTGGATAGCTATATCAGTTCTAAACTGTTCTCCCTAGAGGTCCAGTAAGAATCATCTCTTATTGATCCAGTGTTACTACAGGAGAAAACCTAAACTAAACTAACTTTATTGCCATGCAAACATACAAAGAACTTATTAAACTAACTTTATTTATACTGGATAGCTCTATCAGTTCTAAACTGTTCTCCCTAGATGTCTATAATGAGCACCACCAATATTAATCCAATGTTACTACAGGAGGAACCTTGAGTACCAAACACTCATTCATCAGAGAACTAAATGCACATACTGACCGATGTACCATCAACACTCCTTTGTCACTGAATCTCTTGACGAAATATGCTTTTTTATGTTTTATTATAGAAAATACAAATTGGAAGTGGAGCTTGCCGATGATCTGTGGAAAGTTGATTCGAAGGAAATCGTTCTATCAAATCAAGCAAGGTCATCATTTCGTAGTTTATGTTGGGATAAGGTACTAGTCGTGTTTTTCTGACCATTGTACGGTACCGCTTTAGCCAATGCTTATAAATAAGTTTGTTTTCAATCTACTTAGTCAGCTTGTTGTATCTTTATATTTCAGAGAAGTGTATTCTCAGATACCAACAGCAGAGATGGTGTGAAATTTTTATCAAATGTCGCCGTTTATAAGGTTAGCCTTCTTATACAACTAGCAGACGCTTAAAATTGAATGAAATTTTGGAAATGGAGAGCTACGAGTTTAGAACATACACAGATATTTGTTACACTTTAGAAGAACACTGTCGCAATTCGAAAACTTCAGAGAAATTCCATCGACATAACGAGAGAATTACGAGTGGAGATGAAACAGGTATTGCTGAGATTTTCAAGAAATTCAGTTCGCCCATTCTCATCCCAATACTTTTCCCTTGACAAATGAACCGTCAATAGCCTTAGATAGAGTCATATAACAAAGTTGAATGCATCAGGGCCCATTGCCGTTTAATGAGTTGAAAGAAACATACTACTAGATAGTTCGGTAAAATCATCTGGCATCAGACAGAGTAAATGAGTAATCAATCTTTTCTCTATTTTAGTTGCGAGATATACGCCATGAAAATTTGGTAAATTTTGTTGGTGCATGTGTGGAATTTGATAAAGTGTTTATTTTAACATCGTACTGTTCCAAAGGAAGTTTACAGGTAGGTACGGTGGATGTGACGTGGTTAAAGCAAGTGCATTTCCTCTCTGAGGTTGCGGGTTCAATTCTGTCACGATCATGCGAAAAAGGTCAATCAACGTTCTGTCAAAACTGGTGGATCCCGGTGAAGAAATAAACCTACAATAATGTGTTCACTTGCCAATGAAAGCAAACGCACTTAATCAGGTCACATTCAAGATCACACCTCATGATTTTGCCCAAAAAGCATCACTGGAAATGTGATTTCAATGTGAACTCAAAGGGCACTTCTGCCCCCCTTGCCCCTCCTAGCAAAAGGCAAGAGGGGCAGCTGCCCCCCAGTTCCGGTGTCCCTGTGGATTGTTTCTGATTGAGAACCTAATTTGGTCATGTAAGGTATTCTCTAAAATGTTATGAACGATATTTGTTTTGCTAGGATATTTTTGAAAATGACGATATTAAACTGGACAGTATGTTTATTGTATCTCTCGTTAAAGATTTAGTCAGGGTATGTATTGGTCGAAACTTTGTCATTGACTCAATTTATACCAGAAATAGATCATCCATCGAGGCCAAAAATCTAACGGGTGATCTGTCTTAGTGTAAAACACAAGACGAACACAAGCCTATTATTGTTTATTATTAAAGCGTCGACCGGACCTCTTTTTAACTAGGGCATGACGTTTCTTCACGCAAGCGAAATTAAAGTCCATGGAAATCTCAAGTCGTCCAATTGTGTCGTCGATAGCCGTTGGGTGTTGAAAATCGCCAATTTTGGTCTCAACAATCTCAGAGAACAACATACTAAGGAGCAGAAAGGGGATTACAAATATTCACTTGGTAAATACTAGATCTAAGAAACAGTTGTTTATTAACTATAATCGTCCATACCGCAAGGGTTTTTTCAGGATTCTTTGCTGGGTCTGTTTCTACGCAACGAACTGAATCTCAATCAGTTTATAAACACCACCTTTGTATGGCAGACTTTGTCTAAGCCAATCAGTGTGAGACTAGTTAAGAAATGAACCCGTCAAATTCTAGACCACCATAAAAGTTACTCGTGACCTCGCACAAATTTACGTACGCATTTATGTACCTATTTTTATATTTCAATGTTTTATGAGTGGGCGTCGGCGCATTGGCGACCAACTGCCACAGGTTTCCAAACATTACGCTTCCGAAATCTCTTGATGGCGATTCCGCGCCGATCCGTCTCCAGACCGACGTACCATTGACGGTAAAAGCCCTTTTATCGAACCACGCTTCACTGGCGGTACTTATACTGAGAAAAACATTGCAACGCTTGTGGGAGACGTCCGAAACACACTCTGGCTACACATGCGCAGTTAGTGTTTAACCAGTATTTCTTGGAAAATATTTTGAAAACTTTCTTCTCCTCTTTTTACTTTTTGAGACTTATTATGGCAAGCCCCGGAACTATTGCGCGATCAGAAGCTGGCTGGACAGGGAAACCAAAAAGGCGACGTTTACAGTTTTGCAATAATCTTGCAAGAAATGCATACGAGGAATGGACCTTACAACGTGTTTAACTCGTTGGAGGAACCGGAAGGTTGGTATTATTTAAACGAGAAGTTGAGTATTAGGTTTAAAATCCTTAGGCTGCATTCAGATTGCAGGGTGCCCGGCACTGGTGCCAGCATAGATATAGGAGATCTAGATTGCTAACGCATACCTAGCGCAGGCAGGGCCTACATGATAAATCCAAGATGGCGGTACAACAGGGCAAAAAGACTATAGATTCTATTACGAAAATCAGGATTTTTGCATTTTTTGCCGTCGCATTGTTTCGAAACTTATTCGGTCAAATTTTATGGTAAAGAGAAACTTACCGCGAAGATTTTGAGCATATATATGATTGAATTGGATGAAAACTCGCAAAATTATCCGGCGATAAAAGTTCGTGTATAGTACTGATATAGTACTATATATGTAACTTGTACAGTTTTGCTTTAATTTTTGCTCACTATTTGCATAGAAAGCAAATTATAACAGACCATAGATGATAGACCCTTATCCAGTGCTCGCATCAGTTTACTTCTCTAACAAGCAAGGAGGGGGGTGGGGGGGGTACATAACAGTTCATTTTTCATAATTATGAGGACAGAGCAGATGATGATGAAAGATGCAAGTATAAAACACCATTCACCAGAGTAGATGTCAACATAGCACAGTATTTCTGGCAATAAAAAGCTCCAACTGACCAACTGACCATTTCACACGAACTTTTATCGCTGGATAATTTTGCGAGTTTTCATCCAATTCAATCATATATATGCTCAAAATCTTCGCGGTAAGTTTCTCTTTACCATAAAATTTGACCGAATAAGTTTCAAAACAATGCGACGGCAAAAAATGCAAAAATTTTGATTTTCGTAATAGAATCTACAGTCTTTTTGCCCTCTTGTACCGACATCTTGGATTTATCATGTAGGCCCCGCCTGCGCTGGGTATGCGTTAGCAATCTAGATCTCCTATATCTATGGTTATAGTGACCACACGCGAATCCACAGGGGGTCCAACCACAAGAGCTGTGTTACAATATGAATAAACATCATATTAATTAAACGTAATATGAATAAAACATCCTAACGTAATATATTTAAATTATTGCACTTACTTGTATAAATCATAAGAGCTTGCATTTGCAGTGAATAGCTTCAAACATTGCTTTGAACGATGGGTGTAGATAAAAAGCGGACGGATAAAAGGCGGACGGCGGAGCATTTTCTAAACACACGATTACTACCACAACTAATTATAAAACCCTAAATTAAAGTATACCAGCCTTAGATCTCTGAAATGAATATGTTTTCACCCGTTCGAATTTTTAGCAATGGAATTTTTTAATCAATATTCAATACGTATGTATGATAGGAGGCTATTGGCCGTCTTTCGCGTGAAACTTTTCGTGTGATACATTTTTCAAACAACTTGTTCCACTGATTACTGTATGACATTTACATAATGAATGTTTTTATTCGTGCAATGGTAAGAATATTTTCATGAGGTGATGATTCAACGAGACGACAGCCGAGTGGAATGGAACATTCAATCTTTCACAGAATGAAAATATTCTTACCATTGCACGAATAAAAATATTCATTATTTGTTTTATATAATACCAAAATAGACTAATATTAAAAGTTTACTGTAAGCTCCCGCCATTTTGACGAGTCGTATTTGCATTAAATCCCATTTACTGAGTTTCGAATATCGGGTTGAAATAAACTGCAGCGATCACCGTACGAGAAGCATTTTGACGCATGCCATTTATCGAAAACACAAAGAGTGCAATGGAATAAAACGTAATATTATACCTCAAATTCAAATTGTCCAATCAGGAAGCTTAGTTTGTGCCACGTGAGCATGAAATTAATCGCGATATCACGCCTTACGTCATCAATTAGCGAGTCTGCGTTCCTTTTGACAATGTTCCACCCCATGTTCCCCGGGGAACATGGGGTGGGTGTAACATTATTCGCGTACACCACGCGGGACAACACGCATGACAACAAGATGGCCGACAAAAGATAAATAGTATTAATGAGTGATGAATAATTCAATTTTAAACCTAAAACCCGGGGCTTTTTCAAACCTAAAACCTGGGGCTTTGTCATTAATATTCCAAACGATATGTGATTCGAAAGAAAAGCGACGACACTTGCGTTAATCCGAAAATAAGACGTATTCACGAAGGTATGTGTCAAGTTTTTAATTCTCAACTTGGAGGCTTTTAATTTTCGGTATAATATATCATTTATAGACCTTCCGCTCGGGGGATTCGGCGAAATATTACCCTCAGTGATGATAATATTCGGGTAATATTTCGCCGAATCCCCCTCGCTCCAGGTCTATAAATGATAAGTGTAGCGCGGCGCCATGTTTGTTTTGTTTTGAAGCAATCTGTGACCGTTACTTATTTAAAACTAAACTGCTTTAAACTGGTTGGTTGATTTAATCATCACAATGTTTCCCCACCAATCAGATCAGTTTGTTACAGATTTTTGCACTGTGATTACAGAGAATTGCACTGTGATTACAAAAAAATTGCACTGTGATTACAGAAAATTGCACTGTGATAACAGAAAATTGCACTGCTGTTTGGGATTAACTGCACTGAAATCAACCAATCAGAGTCGAGTAATATCTTTATGTATATTATTATAGCATAAATATGACATATGAACTTATGATAAATTACAGTACCTTCCAACGGAAACTATACATTTTTTTCGAGCGAGTTTCGAGAATGTTCGAGCGAGAAGCGCGACGCGAAACCTTGCGAGGGGCGCTATCGCGACCTCTCGCTCGTTACGCGTAATGACTCGCTCGAATAATTTGTTTACTGCTTTCGCGTAATCGCGAAACGCGCTTCGCGAATCGCACTCGATAAATCGCTGATGAGCAAAAACTTCATGGCAGCGAAAAACATAAAGGCTAGTTATTCAACATACATGTCGGCGTATGGAAGTCTTACCTTGTTTTTTTCTAAACGATTGAGGCACAAGATATGGTTTTAAGACGCTGTTTTGCTTTTACGTTTTATAAGTAGATGTCTCGCAGCACTGTCGGTACATATTTTCGCTGAAATCTTACCAGCAATTGGCTTGTCTGACCACCTGTCCGTTCTTGCTACTCCTGCTGTTCAAGCTAAACTACCCAATATTATTATTAAGAAAACTGTACGTAAAACAAAACCGTCTAGCATAACATCACTTGGAAAATTCGTCAAGTCATTGGACTGGAGTCACCTTTACCGCTTACCTTCTTGCCAAGATAAATGCGACCTTTTCTACAACCTACTTATGTTAGGACTAGA